TCTTTACACTTGTTCTCACTCTATGTAACCCATTGCGTGATAGCTTGCGGCGATATATTTAAAAAAATGTTTTAAATATATATTTTAAGTGTAAGGGTATCTGAATTAACGTTTAAAGAAAGACTTTTGATATTTCTAAGGAAGTTTTAGCGAAATAAAGATAAGAATTTTTTCCCTATAAGGCATCTCTGTGCTTTGCTTTTGAGCACACGCTTTTATAATGTTAAAAATTCATTTTATCCTATTTTAGACTTATTATTAATCTGATGATAAATAAACAATTAGATCATTATTCAAGTTTATTAATTCTTGTAATACCTTACTGTAAGAATAATCAGAATAATGAAGATTAAAATGTAATAATGTATTCAAAAATAGTATCTTTGTTTATACGATAAAATCAATGTAATACATGCTTATCTTACTAATTATATGCAACGCTTGTAAAGATGATTTAATATTTCGAATATTGCTAAAATATAACAGGTTGAAATTTTCGTTTATATCTCATTGTAAAATAAATTTCTTGAAGTCTGTAGGATACAAAATTTATTTAGGGACCACGTGAACTCTCCTTCCAAACAAATTCATCAGCGACTGTAAAATAACGACTGTGAAATCTTATTTGCGAACCGGTATCTGTGGAATGGTGAATCTTTATCTTTCTCTATATATATGTTTATAATGAAAAATATATATATATATATATATATATATATATATATATATATATATATATATATATATATATATAATATAAACACAAACACTTTATCTAACGATATAAATAAATATACATACATTTTCCTTCATAGGTAGCACGACTCGGAGGAAGATTTACGTGATGAGTCAGTCTATACTCAACACCTGAACATTGCGTTGGGCATGAAAATCTGAGTCTAGTTACCACTGTTGCGTAATATGTATATTTATGTATATTTATTAATATATACTAAAGGGATTTTTTATTACACACACACACACACACACACACACACACATATATATATATATATATATATATATATATATATATATATAAAGAAAGAACAGTAAGATATATAATCCGGTGTTCTTATAGATATTTTATTTTTACAAAATAGTGTTCAATGTAAATTTACAGAGCATTTAATATTATAAATTAATTGATTTAAAAATATGTTTTTCGCTACACAGTTCTAACCATGTTTCAAAAATTTTGAAACATGTTTGAACTAATGTAGCGAAAATTTTTTGAAACCTGGTTAGATCTGTGTAGCGAAAAAAAACATATTTTAAATCAATTAAACGTGCACTCAATACGAAGTAGAGAAATATTATCTATTTTAGGATATTACACCGAAAAATAGCAATATCGCTGCACAATTACATATCAATGCATCTCAACAGGAAATTGTAAATTACGGCGAGTGAACGATTTATTTATTTAAAATCAAAATACAACCTCTTTATACCAAATGGGTGTATAGTGTCTATACATTTTTAAATTAGTGTGTTATATATTGGCTCCTGAAATATCAATTTCAGTTGAGCTCTCTGGGGACGACGTGTGGGTTGGTAAA